AATATCAGATAGATTGGACAACACAGAAGAAATAGCAGCATCAATGCTAACGCTTGCTTCCTCAATGCGAGCCGCCATTGTTGTTGGAATCTCACGGTCGCTTCTCCACTCCAGGACACACCCACCCTGCGTCCTGATTGGACAGACCATAAATTCGGTTGGGGAAATCACTTTCAATGAGCGGGTTCCTAGGTGTATGTAAGTGGAGCTGGGCGGAGCGAGACATGCATCTGGCTGTTGTCAGGTTAGTTGATGGCAGCAGCACAGCTGATGTTTCTCTCCAGGATGGAGTCACAGCCAAACAGGAACAGACCAGATGAAGCTACTATGAGAAAAAGCAGAGAGAGCAGAACGTTAGAGATAGAACTAACAGATTCTGCAGAGTGGGAGAATAGAGATAGAATGAAGCAGAATGATAAAATAGGGGTCCCTATTTCATGCTCTATAGAGGTAAACAAGCAAACCAACATGGCAGTCTGCTCATGCGCTCTTTGTCACCAGAGAACCGAGTCAGAACAGATGAACTGGTACCAGTTTAGCGCGGTTGTGCCTGCCAATTACACTCAACGGTTATCCTGGTAAGCGTGCTCAGACCGATCTCGACACCATTTCAAAAGGGTAGTGTAAATGGGGCTTATATCACCTACATAGCAGCAAACAGGACTTCTTAAAGCCGTTCTTCTTGCTTCTCTTCCAGACTTGAGTGCCAGCTAATAACTTTCTAACCTGCTGCATACCTGTGGCTTTAAAATGCGCAATTCTGTTGGAAAGATGAAGTATGGCTTGACTGCATGTGTTTCCTTACTGTTTGTAAGACGAATGGGTTCAGCTCAGACTTCAGAACTCAATAATTCAGCTAATTAAACATGGATTGTCTTTACTGGCCTCACAGTCTCTCATCCATTTTAACCAGGAAATCAACAATTTTCCTAATCTGGACCTTACAAAGCAGGCATGCGTTTTCCCCCCACAGCGATGGCGATGCACAACCATTGGAGAAAATCATTACTCAACAAAGTGTTGTGTAAAAGGAGCTATTACAGCTGCAGAGAGAGCGGGGTGGGGGGATTACATTAAATGTTTTCTGATTTTAAAGAAGCTTACTGTCAGTGTTGCCAAGCTGGAAAGCAGCCAGGAGGAAAGCTTGTCCCAAAGCACTCATTCATAGTTTGAACAGATTGGTGATATAACCAGACGTCCTAGAGCACAAAAAGCTGTATTTCAACCTGAGCATCTGTCTTTTTTGCTCAGATCATTCCTTTTTTTACTTTTTACAATTTAAAGTCTTTAAGCTGCTGTGTTAGAAGTTAAAGTTAGGCTGGGAGGCCTCCACACAGTGACACCTCATCCAGAGATGTCCCAACTTCTCCTGTGTCACAGCTCTGTTTATAGATGGAGGCTAATCCTGTGATGGTACGCTGAGCTGGAGGGGATCACCTGGAAGAGGGCTTGTTCAGAACATGACCTGTAGTCTTTAGTGCTGCTCCTCTCCATAAAGCTTCTGTTACACGGTTCAGGCCCGCAAATCACGCAGAAGGTTTTAGGTTTGGCCAATATGATGGATTTAGTAAGGATATGTCAGATTATACAAAGTTATTATAACTGGATCATTGCTTGTGCTTCTAAGGTTTAAATATTGTATCCTAGAGGCGACATCCCTCTGGAGCTGGCATGACAATCTGTCTATTAGAATAAGGTGGAAAACCTCAGTTTTACAGTAATTATTAGGGGTGTA